GCTACAACGATGTTAGCGCGCCCGTGTAGCTGTAGCCATGTGCGTACCTTGATGTGTTCGTTTTGAATGGAACCATATGTTCTCCACCGTTCTAGAGGATCTTCGTCTGCATACTCTGTTACGACCTCGTGGTTGCACAAAGACAGTACGCGAACAGCCTATATGTCTTAGTATTGGTCCTGAAGCCTCCCAGGATCTCGTACCTTGAGCGGGCCGGGCTGCACACTGTAAACGTGAGCCGTGAATCCATCTTCAAACTCTGACCTAGTCTCTAGTGAAGCCGTCAGCTGGGTCCTTCCAATAGCATATGCCAATCGTACTTTCCAAGTCTTCCTCTCCCACCAATACAATCTTTGTCTCTTTCACACCTTCCGGCGCGGGTGTATCTTCGTCATCGGAGTCGCTGGTGTAATCAGAGTCTTCGGGCTCTTCTCGTTCGGGCATGGAGCTCATAAAGGGCGAGCTGCGCATGTCGGCGTCCTCACGCTTCTGACGGGGGGGACCATTGGCTTTTACGGTTCGCTTGGGTGTGCCAGTCACGAGGTAGGTGGCGTGGACCGACTTGGGTTTCCGCGCATTCTGATTCTTTTGAAATTCGAAGAGCATCCTGTATCATGTGAGCCGGCATTCAGATGCTGGCAAGAGCTGCACGAACCGTTTCGCTGTGTTGACATTGGAGCTGGTCGCTCTGCTGAGCAGCCTGTAGGTGACCGGCCTCTGCTCGGTAATCACCCGCGCAACGAGAAAGTCGTTGTAGTCTTCTCCCGCCATTGTGTGTTGTCGTGGCTGACGTAGTCGTCGCAGTGGTGATGGTGGAAGAAGTAGCGAAAGCGCGTCGCGGGGTTGACTCAAAATCACGCGTCGTGCCTGCCAGAACTGACTCGGCGAACAAGGCACCCATCGTCGCCCGCAAAGTGCATCCCAACTCCACCTTACTCCATGATGAGCGCCGGAGAGGACGACGACCTGAAATTACAGCGAGCATCTGCATCGCTCCTGTCTGACTTCGAGAGGCTGCTACCGCGACTACTGCGGAAACGGCAGCATGGCTCTGCCCTTGGTCCCGTCCGCCAACATGTCCGAACAGCAGACATGTACAAGGCATGCAGCTTGGTGTGAACCCTATCAATCAATGTTCTCAATGGCTGTCTAATCTTCTACAGATAGAGCCATTCCAGGAGGACCCCCAGATTCTAGACACCCACCTGAAAACCTTCATACCTCCACTCGTCGCCGCCTATCTAGAAGCAATATCGGCGAGCGCCACAGAACAACCGAAACCAGGATTTGTGACTCTTGCATACGCCATATGCTCCGTCTTGAATACGCTTTGTAAAGTCCGAGGCGAAAAGGTCGTCAAAGGCTTCTTTAACAACGAACCACGTCATCTCGAAGCAATCTTGAGGGAGTTGGAAGCGACTGGGGTTGTTAAATCTGGAAATTCCGATGCCTTACAGCAGGAGACAGCTCGTCCATGGATACAGCGTTATGTGCTGCTATTATGGCTCTCGCAGTTGCTACTCGCTCCCTTTCCCCTGGAGTCCATGTCTGGGTTGCAAGTTTCTGCAGAATCACCTGTAGCTCTTGGGCTGAAGCTCCCGGATGAACTTCCTGGTGTCACTCTTCGGGTAATTTCTCTTTGCATGTCAGGACTTCAATCTCCAACAAAGGAAAGAAGCGCCGCTGCAAGTCTCCTGGTGAGGACATGCGTGCGACCAGATATGCAAAAGCTAGGTTTGCTGGATGCCATGGTCCAATGGTCGCTGTCTTTCTTCACAGGCATATCCGAAGAGAAGACCGACATACATCAGTGTCTTGGGGTTCTCTCATTCTTGTCAGGGCTATTGGCCTCCGCTACGAATGAAGAGCTTGGCCCTTTCCTTGCTGCCATATACCTATCCTGTAGGAAGATTTTGGATCAGGAGAGTCTCGCCTTTGTCAAGTCATCAGCTGTGGCCCGAAAGCTGGTTGTGAAAAGCTTGCGCAATGTCGTTTTGCATTGCCTACAGGCGACGTCGACGCTTCCTGGACTCGATTCAACCGTGGTATTGGAAGAAGTCATCGAATTTCTCCTTGAAGCACTCGCGGATGGTGACACGCCAGTCAGATACGGTGCTAGCAAGGCGCTCAGCATCATCACTCTCAAATTGGACGCGGAGATGGCCAGCGAGGTTGTCGAAGCAATACTTGGCTCGCTCACAGAGAACATCTACTGGCAGGGGTCCAAGCGCAATTTGAACAGCGTGAACCCACTCCGATGGCACGGTTTGACTTTGACGCTGGCTCAGCTTCTCTATCGGAAAGCAATCTCTACCAGTCATTTGGCGGACGTTCTCAACGCTCTTCTACTTTCCCTCGGCTTTGAGCAACGGTCGCCTACTGGAGGGTCCATTGGTACGAACGTACGCGATGCAGCTTGCTTCGGTATTTGGGCGCTCTCTCGCCGCTACCCCACCACTGACCTCCTTGCGGTCGAAACCGCGACAATAAGGGCTTCCGAGCACCTCAGATCATTACACGTCCCTCAAGTGCTGGCAATCGAATTGGTAGTTGCTGCTTGTCTCGATCCAGCAGGCAACATCAGAAGAGGCTCATCTGCTGCGCTTCAAGAACTTATAGGTCGCCACCCCAATACAATAGAAGAGGGCATACCGCTCGTACAGATAGTCGACTTCCACGCTGTCGGGCTCCACCAGCGCGCAATGTGCGACGTGGCGATCAAGGCTGGAGAATTACAGTCTCTGTACTGGGAGGCCCTATTCGGTGGTCTTTTAGATTGGAGAGGAACCGGCTCATTGGATTCAGACTCACGTCTATTTGCAGCTGAGGCCATCGGGTCTCTTTCTAAGGCTCGATCTCCTGCGGTAGTGCAGAAGATGTCTGATCAGGTCCGTGGCAAGCTTGCGGCATTGCGACCTCGCGAGGTGGAAGAGCGTCAAGGGTTGGTGACTGCGCTTGCGACCCTCGTTGACACGACAGTAATTATGCATGTGCAACGAGCGCCCGACAATCCATATGCGCCCTTGATGGCCCTTTGGACTTCGTTCTCAAAAGAACTAGAGCTTGAAGACAAGGCATTCACTTCGCCGGCATTGCGACCCCAGTTCACCGCATCATCAGTTTGTACATTTATCGGAGCAATCTCGAGACTCACCAATGGTACCCTCAGCAAGCTTTGGCCTTCAAACCTACCCGTGGCACAGGTTTGTAATTTATTGGACCTTTGTCTCGCGCGTCATGAGGAATCAGTCCTCGATGCTATTGCTGCCGCAGTCCCTGCAGTAGTCTCACTATTACCTAGGTTGCCGGGGTCCGATACGTTTGGCGTCATGATATCATGGCTGTTGCGTTTGGAAAATGAAGCATCGTACAATGGGTCGCGATGTTCCGGGCATGCGATCGCCCTTGGAGCTGCGCATGGCAGCTTGGACAGCCTGGCATCCGATACTGAAAGGGATATCCTCCAGCGGCGGATCGTAAAGGTACTTACGTTCAGATGCACATCAGCTGTGGCAATCGAGGCCCGAACGGTGCCATTACGTGCTCTGCGTTGTTTGCTTGGGAGCGGGAACCCTAAATCAACTCAGCTTGCTGCCGATGTAGAAGACCAGATCGCGAGCGCCTTGCACATTGCACTTAACGACTACACCATTACAGAACGGGGAGATGTCGGGTCACTCGTCCGACTCGAGGCCTTGAATACCGTGCGCTTGGCTTGGGCAAATGGAATACTCACTGAGAAACGCAATGAACGCGAGTACGATATCTACGCCGACATCGTTCGGCTATCTCTCGAAAAGCTTGATAAGATGCGCATGAACGCCGCTCAAGTCCTCCAGCTGAGAGAAGCCGGCGGCGCAACCACAGACGAGGTCTCCTCTCGGACTTACTTCCTGAACGCACTAATGTCGTTACAAACAACGAAAACCCCCGCGATCAGAGAAGCTATCTGTGTTGGTTTTGTCAGCTCCGCGGGGATGGGCTCCGAATCCGTGGTTCAGAACTCACGAGCAGCTTTGCTAGACTTTGTCGATATGCTACAAGACGAAGATACATCCGACGTTACGCAGTTTGCCTTGGTTGACTTTGCAAACTGCGTCCTGACACTCCTGAAGAACAACATCACCAACGATAGAGTTTTGCTCCCGCTACTAGAGGTCATCGCCTTCTTGTTCGACATGCAGATCATGCAGCGTCTTCAGTCGACGTCTTTCAAGTAAGGGCTCTCTCTTGGTGTTCCATATGCGCATGCGCTAATCGTGTTAGTTTCCGATCACTTCTTTCATATACGCAAAAAGCACACTTCAAGTCCACGCATATGCAAAAGCTTCACCTCGCGCTGGATGTGTATCGGGGCTTAGGCGTTATAGTAGCAGCCAGAGCTGATACACTCGCTAAAGTCATGAGCATGCTTTTACACCCATTTCCTAAGGTACACATCCGTAACGAAGTGTTTTTGACCATAGCGCTAATCATTACTCAGATTCGCATTACCGCAGCGGAGACCCTATGGTTTCTCGCACACCTAGACGGCTTGAAGCGACATGACTGGAGCCTGCCCTCGAAAAGCTTGAAACCTGCTGTTGATAGCATCAAGGCCAGCTTGACTGCGATCGAGGTTTAGTGATAGTCTCTCATTCTAACAATAGCGCCGCCGGGTGGGGGTGCACACTATCCTCTGAGATCAGTCATCGACTGTTATTCCTTGATCATCTTGTCCTTGGATTGTACTTTGCTTATCTGCTACTCGCCATAAAAAATCTGACCGTTGTTTTGTTCGATGCGTGCATTCAAACTATTTGAGTACAGCGTTGGACGTTGCTACTGGCTAAGCTAATTCGCTCGGCAGTCTTGCTGTGCCTCTTCTCTGCTTGCGACAGTAATGATGCGCGCCGCACCCTGTAATGCAGTGGGGGCTCGCATAGTAACACAGTCAGCCAGGCGGCTACACTGGGTCGGCAGCCCCTCAACTGTGCATCCCTGCCCCGCGCACACTTGACATGTCGCCCACGACGCAGACGACGCTCTCTGTTATCGCAGGTAAAGACCGACCTATGGACTACAGCCTTTCTCGCAAGGTGGATGAAAAGGAGTATATCACCACCATCGACCTGACTGACACCACGTTGGAGCAGAGAAGGCTGGCAGCAAACCGAACAACTACATTTGGTCTGAAAGCTTTTGGCGAACCGCAGAGTAAAGAGTTCGTCGTCGCCGCCGCCGACTTGCACAGATCCGGCTTTAAAGATGAGCATCTTCGGATCATCACTCAACAACGAGATGAAACGGCTGCCTCAACAACGGCGGCTCTCGACCGCTGGCTGTGAGTTATCCGTTCAATCATGAGTTGGAAAGCCTAACATCCATTCAGGCATGTTCACACGGACCACGTGAATCGAGAAACCTTCGAGGTAAATCTCACAACCTTCGTTTTCTACTTGATCTGACTAATGCTCCGAAGAAATTAGCTCTCAACTTCGTTCTCAAACACGATGAAGATCTGGTTCCGGTAGTGCTTTCGGTACTCGAGGAGGTCTGGTCTAACTATGAAGAGCAGTCTGCGTATGGAAGTCATCTCCGACCTGGAGCAGTCTGGCGATGTGATGGGACCGATGCTGAACAATCGCATAAGCCCGATCTTTCCGCAACGTTCATCTCGTTTCCTTATTTCGATGCTGGTACTGGGCCACCATCGTACAAATCCAAGGAGTATCCAACTCAACTATCCCGAGGACTATTCGAGAACGCATACCCGCACGAAGCGACACACAATAGAGACGCCGATCAGATGTTCCGAAAATTCAAACGCAATAGAAAGAAGCAACACCTCCGCGTATCTCAGCTATGGGCTTTGGTCTTACGATCTCGAACTATCATCACGTGCTCGTCCAGCCCGCTTCCCGAAATGTTCCATGGCGTGGAGTTTGTTGCAGCGAACGATCTTCTTGTCAAAGAGCCGGGTAGGATTCATGTAACTGATCATCTCAGACGGGTCATGTACCTGCCATTGGAGACATGCACCACCTTTTTCGGACTTCGACGTACTCTGGAGGAGCACTGCTTCAGAGATACTGAAACCACAATCGACGACTGCATCATAACTGGCGAGGACAGCTGCAAAGAGCTAAACGCTATTGAGTGGCCTGATCTACTCAAGTTTCGCATGTCGCCATTCATATACGTACGACTACACCCGAAAACGAAAACCACTCGTGAAGTATCGGGTGGAGGCGGGATTCAACTGGAGTCGCCTAAAGTCACCAGACTGATTGAGTACGAAAGCTTAGACTCTGATGATGATGATGATGATGCGAGAGCAGATGATATGGCCCTCGTGTTGTCAAAGCATCAGTAGGTTGCTACAGAATCGCATTGTCTGTCGTTGACTTCGCTAACATGTCGTCATCAGCGTAAGCGATCACGACGACCAGCCCTATCCTTTAACGGCAATCCAGGAACGACTACGAAGAGAAGGATATGTGGTCAACAATGTTGAAAGCCTCATGTTCAGTGAAAACGTAAAAGAAAGGCCAAGAATCTTTGATCGTCCAGACAGTTTCAGCCTAAGAAACAACACGCGCCCGCGTACCAATCGACTCTTGATGTCGGCCAAGGATGAGGTACGCTCTGAACACGAAACTTCCGGTGTTCTTGTATGCCAGAATTCCAGACCCTTGGGAAACACGTTCTATGCACAGGGCTTCCAAGAACGTCATGTACTCGATGCTACAAGTAAATCATCATTGGCACTATCAAATGGCCCTGCAATGATTTATGGCCCCGAGCATCTCATTCCCGGGTCCGTCCACTCTTCACTTGAATTGAATGACTACGACGAGGAAAATCTACGTCAAGACTTGCCGCGGCGACTGGAAGAATGCAGATCGTCACCCACCAGGGTAGCGAAAGAAGATCTCGAAATCGAAACATTACTGGAATTTGAAATTCCTTACGAATACGATCAGAACGATCCCAGTTATCTTATTCTTCCATCAACGGACTCCGAAGTCTTGCAAGCTTTACTTGCTCACACAGCTCAATTACGATCAGCTCGAAAAGAGGAAGAAGAGAAGAATTCTCAGTTCAACGTCCCACCTTTTTTAGCTTGGCCGACAAGTATCGTGGACAAATCATCGGACTCGACTGGAGATCCAGATCATCAATCGCCTCGAAATCAACCCAGTTCAGGCTATCTCCTTGAACACTCGCTTTACGCCATAGAAGAGCACATGACTAGAGCGAGACCAAATCTAGCGACGTTGCCGATCGATCCGGAACATCCGTACATGTTCTTGTACAGGAAAGGAACTGCTTTTACTGAGGTTCCGGAAGTTGATTCTCACGATCTCGTACTGAACTTAATGAGCTTCAGTCGAGCGGACATCTCCGATATCGCGCATCCATCAGACATAGTTGAATTCGAGATCATGACTTGGCTGATGGATAGCACGCATGCTCTATCCGAGGAAACCACAGAAGACCTTACGCTAGATGGATATGATATCCAGAGGCTTCTGGAGTCTACGTGTTGCACTGCTAGACGCTCGACGCAATGGCACACGACGTTGATGCTCGAGTATTTGAGGCTCATTGTGCTTTCAGCCATAGATGTGGTAGATCAGGTTGTACCAAAGCATTATCCGCATACCTTGCTACGTAGATGCTGGGGTTCTCTCCACGCAATAGTCAAGGTAAGTTCCTAGGTTCGAAAGAGGATCAATGTCACACTTTGTCTGATATGTCAACTCAGGTTGTTACTTTGATATGTAGGATGAACCATGCGCACCAACAGAAGGACTACGACTCGGAATCTTTGAGTGTGTTCGTGCTACGAGATGTGCCCAACAAAGAGTATGCGGAACTCTATAGACTGGAAGACCTGGTCGATCCACTCGATCATTGCAGTATGTGCAAGCGGAAAACTCACTACACCAGTGTCGACGAAGCTGTTCAGCATCTCATGCAGTTTCACATGTCGAAAAGTGGCCAGAAACTGGAACACATTCGCGAGAAGTTGACCCATTGGGTAGTTTCGGCATCGGGAGCTGATCTCGAAAATTCCAACCAACTTGTGATCCGATACCTCAACACACTTTCGCAGCAAATTGAGATGTTGCAAACAAAGTTCGTCGATCTTCGCAACAGCGTAGCAAATGAGAACAACGAAAAGCCTGAAGGTTACCTCCTCCCATCAGCACTCGTCAAGGCTGCCGAGAACTTCTTTCAGATACTCTTCACGTCTCAGTATAGTGTCAAAAGTCTGTGCGCAGGCTTATTGTACAACCGTAATACCCGCATGGCAGCGAGTGATATCACAAAAGAAGTCGAGACCCACATCACCCTAATAGAGCATTTCGGCTCCAGGGCCAGTACTGAAATATCGAGCGCACGTCATGCGTTACTGCTAATGGCTAATATCGGAACTGTCTGCAATTCTGTTGTCAGCATCCATAGTCCCCCAGAGTTGACACTACTACTTTGTTGTATACAGCTCTCCAAAAGACCTATCGATGGGGATCTCTGCGTACTGGCCTCTTATCAAGAGCATCTATCGAGCATGGTATGCCCTTAATGTCTTCTGATTGAAGCTTCTACTGACGTGTTATAGCGATATCAAGCTAGTCATCGACCCAGGAAGCATGATCTCCGGGATCTGTACCTCTTGGAAGAAGAATTGGAGTTGGTAGAGGCCATATACGACGCACAGCGTCTTGCGCTCAAAACGTATGGCAAAGTCATCGATCATGGGAGCTACCGCATCACCAATCGTGAACGTGTTCAGACCAACGAGAATATCGAGAGACGTATCCTGAATCGCTACTTGGTTGAAAAACCTCTACCTGGCTTGCGTTACGACTATAAGGACCTCCAAAACCAACTAACCAAGACGGCTCAGGTGCTTCGATACGGTATTGAGATTGCAGAAGAGGGAAACACTAAGGCGATCCGAGTGTTTACACTGGTGACCATCATCTTCCTCCCACTTTCCTTCATTTCGTCCGTCTTCGGCATGAACACGGTGGATATCAGGGATATGGAGAACACACAAGGCTTGTTCTGGGCTATAGCTATACCCACTACCGCCCTCATTGGAGGCCTATCTCTGCTCATCGCCTATCGTGGTACGCAAATGTGGGATTGGCTCCAGAATCAGAGCCATACTGTACATGTCAACGTTGCAGGTACGATACTTGATCGCAGGGCATACGTCAAGAGGAGGAAGCAAAGGCCTAAGGATGAGGAAGTGCTGGCTGGAGATGACGAGGAGCTTGTAGAGAGATGGATGCATGGGCTACATACAAAGCGAAGGACAGGAGTGCGAAGGTAGCCTGGAATGGAGCAGTCTTGAGGTGCTATTCCAGTTATAGCCATGGGATGAGCAGAGCTGGAGTGTTTTTTCCGATGTAATGCTGTCTCTTGTCGGTTGGCCGATAACTAGAACCCAGGAAATTCCATTCTATTGCACGACTAGAGCCTGGCTTTTATCCTGTCTTCATTCAAGATGTTCAACACCTGCTTCTCTGCTTCCCACGCACTTCCCCAGCCGCTTTGGTACCCATAGCCAGCATGTCCGTAGCTATGCACTACTTCAACTCCATCAATTTTCTCTCGCTCCACCCTTGGACCGCCAGTCCTCATAGGCCGCAGACCAACACCATGTCTAATGACACTCAGCTCAGTCACTTTTCCGGTCTTCGGTACGAGTGACGGACATAGGTCGATGGAGCGTTGCATGATGCGCTGTGCGAGGTTGGGGTCAGGTTGCGATTCCCAAGAGTGGTGTTGTAGACAGCCTCCGAGTATTGTCCCACCACCGACTGCGCGCTGCATGATATACGTAGCCTCTTCACTGCCATGATCGGTTCCGCTTACTGTCACCATGACACCAGGCTCGTTCCGCACTAGGACAATTTGACCACGTCCAGGGTACTCGTTACTGTCCATGACGCCTCCCAGTGTGGAGGCTAGAAGACCAGTACAGTTCACGACGGCATTTGCATGCCCCGAGGTATGGAAGCTGCCTGCTTCAGAGATGTGGGAGAGTATACCGCGCTTGATGGTCACACCAGCCTTCACGCACTGTCCCACGATCCAGGGAAGATATACAGCAGTGTTTATGCATACTGAAGTAAACTCCGTGCCCCGGTCACAGCCTTCTGGGAGTTCAGATTTGGACAGTACGCGGAACTAAGAAGCATCAGCATGGCTTCATGCAAGCAACGTAGGTGAGTATATGGACACCGAGTTGGGATAGGCTCTACATACATTCGGCACAACGTCCTTGAACCATGCGTCTTCTTTGGTCAGCTCTTCAAACCACTGCCCTGTAGCGGTGCCTGCATCTTTCTCTCGCCCATAGACCCTCGTCGCCTGGTAATGGATGCCTGCTTCGGGTATCTCACGACAGATCCGATCGAGCTCACTCCAGGTAGCTTTCTCGAACCTCTGCAAATTTGAGCCTGGTTTGCCGACAGGAAAGTAGTTTGCTCCAGCCCAGGGTGATGCATATTCTATGTCGTAGTCGCCGGGCATGTGCTTGGCCACGACGGTAATGCTGAGGTCCTTGTGCTTAGAGAGCACGAGGGCGGTGGAGAGGCCGATGACGCCTGCTCTGGGGTGGTGTTAGTGCGGTCTTGAGGTTGCCGCCCAAGACGGATTAGACATGTTGGAGAGTCATAGGCGAAGATGAGTACACATTACTACGGGACGTGGAGGGGCAACACAAAATATCATGACAGCATTGATAGGCGAGCTTACCCGACAACGACGACACTCTTCTGGTTGGCCATGCTGGCAGCTCAGAGTCAGAGCGATGGCTGCCTTGACGCACCCGTGATATGCCGTGGGGTGACTGAACAGGACTTCCAAGGTTGCTATCGCCGTGGATGCGGAGCCTGATGAGGATGGCGGGGTCATGCCTTGTATCCCCGGCTCGCCTATTGGCTCCTTCCCGCACACGAGACAAAACGCGTGCGCACATGCGAGCTTTGTTTACTGACCAACTGGCCTGCTTGCTATTGTAAAGCTATTATAACGCTGGCCCTGGCCCCCTTCACTTTTGTGCTATTGTCCAGATTATTGAGCAAACTCGGTTCTCGCCCACTTGCACGCGCTTTTTGCCCTTCACCGCCGATATATCGCGAAAAACAGTCGGGCCTGCCCCATCGGCTAGCTGGGGGAGCTCTGTGGTCCGTGACATCATTGCAGGCTCCGAGGTATGTAGGCCGAAGATTTTTCCGTACCATCTGGAGCTTTAGTTTCTGCCGTTTGAAAAGTACAAGAAGGCGCTGTCCCGGTGTCTGGTTGGCTGACGTCTGATTGTACTTCTCCAGGCTCCTGAGCGCGAGCTGTCCTGACTCGGGGCGGAGATCGTTGTTCCTGCGACCCGCCAAGCTGAGCCATCCCTGTCGCCGTGTCCCTTCGAGAGCCTCAAGAGTTCGGGCGCGTCACAAAGATATTCATCATTCACGTTCACCGGCCACGACCTTCACCAACTTGGCGTGGCCGGCCCAGCCCTCTCTACAATAGCAACTGTCGCACCTAAGCTCAACCCTCATCCATGACCCCGTCACCCCACTCCTGTGCCTTCCTCTTTGCATTACACCGACTTCTCCTGTCCAACACGCACGCTTGATCACCACCTGCCAATATGGCTACCCGAAGACAGCGGGCCAACTCGCCTGAATTCCCCATACTCGAGGCCAATGCCCTGTATGCCAGCCAGATCCGCGGCGATGGTGAGCTTAATTACCCCATATTCCATGTTCAAGGCTGACTTTGCCCAAGGCAACTGCCTCTTCAACGCCCTGTCTGACCAGCTCTACGGCAACCAAGATATGCACGAGGTGCTGCGCACCACCACCATAGAGCACATGAAGGACAGCGCCGACTTCTACCGCCAGTACATGGCCTGCAACACCGTGCGACGGAACCCCAAGCGCAAGACTGCAGCAGCTGCCGCCAACCGCCTTGACACCACATGCTACACCGACGAGCAGCTGCAACAGCAGTTTGAAGAGCACGTCGAGAAGATGGGCCAGCCCGGCGAGTGGGCCGACAACATGGAAGTCTCAGCATTTGCCTCCGCCCTCAACGTCAACGTCCGCCTCTGGCAGGCTGACTACACCTACCTCTTCTCGCCCCGCACATGCTACACGTCGAACGAGGACCTGGCTGCTCAGGACAGCCGCCAGACACTTCACATCGCCTATCACGTAAGCCATGCCACCACTGACTACCCCGCTGGCACAGTACTGACGTATCAATTAGACTTGGGAGCATTACTCTTCCGTCCGCAATATCGCCGGACCTCACAGCGGCCCCCCTGACGTCAACATCGTACCCCAGGTCATCTCCAAGAAGCGGCCTAGCCCTAGTGTCGACGGTGACGACGATGACCAGCGTCGCCGCTCACGAAAGCGCCGCTCGCCTCTGCCGCTCTTCGACTCCGACTCTACACCAGAGGGCACCGAGAGCTCGTCAGATGAATCAAACGGATTCGCAGCGTCGCAGCGGTCCAACATTGAAATTCCTCAACCAGAGCCCGTGAAGGTTAAGCTCACCATCAAGCTCCGCGGTCTTCGCACCTCGGATACCTCCTCCCCTACTCCATCCTGCACGACTTCTCGCGCGCCTACGCCCGCACCAACTTCCACACAAACCCCATCAGAGCCCAAGAAGACGGCTCCCGCAGCACCCAAGAATGTTGCTGTGGCAGAGACCACATCCGCTGCTACCGCCTAGTAGGCTTGGTAGCATCATGGCCTTACGACGACGGATACCGATTCACGGTTCATATTGATGACGCTGACGATGATACCCCAGCATAACATTGGGCGCTTATTATTCCCGGGTTATTTTCCTTTTCCTTCTTTGCATAGCATACGAGCATTGGCAGGGGCTGTCTGTTACACATCGTTGCATATGCCAGCATGACTGACGGGTGCCAAAGTGCTTGGGCCGCGCTCTGTTCACTGGCTTTGGCGTTTGGGGGTTACGCTTGCGTTTCCACATGGATGATGATGGCTCATCTCTTGGGATATGACTGAACCTAGAAATGAGAAACCATTACTGCCGTTGACTTGTTGCTGCTTGATTCGTGTGTGTGATGTTCAGCATGCGTGAAGTCATAGATGAGTACGTCTTGATCGTCATGAGCATTATGCATATCTACCGTCTATTCAAAGCCCTCGCCCTTAGCATCCACCTCACCCTTTGGTCTCTCAAGCGCTGGACTCAGAGGCCCCGCCATATCAACAGGTGGCACCTGAACCCCAATTAAGCTCTTCCTATGCAACCGCGGGCTCTTATCCAACGTCTCGGCTTCCTCTTCCACCTCCGGACTATGCCTACCGTCCTCATCGCCCTCTCCATGCTCACTACCATAACCCTGATTTGCCAGCCTCAAGCCCATGATCTGCTGTCTCAACTCATCCACAAATCGCTGCATGTCCTCGAATGGTAGTCGAACCGCTCCTCCATCGGCGTTCTCAGCTTGGGTGTTGTATAGCCTGAGCGCTGTGTCGAGGGCGCGTTCCGCTTGCTGCGACTTGTCCAGTCTGTACCAGTTCTCGCTGGCAAGCAAAGCCCAAAGCGCTGCTTTCCGACGTCGGCTTCCTAGTTTGTACATGCCCACGCCAGTGCGCACAGCATAGCAAGCTGAGATGCGTTCAGTAATGAGGGCGTGGCCTATCGAGCCTACGAGGCCTGTTTCTAGAATGCGCGTTGCCCAGCGTGCGGCGTCGTCTGCGGCCGAGGAGCCACGGAGGCGCAGGAGCTCGAAGCTGAGGGCGAGGGTGCGGAGAGCATAGTACGGCGCTGCGCTGCGTTGTCGGTCGGTGTATGAGTACGATGCAGCTTCTATCCACGCATCGATGTTTTCAGCGCGAGATTTGGAGGACAATGGTGTGGGTGCCATGAGAGCCGACAAAGCGGCCATTTCAGCAGCACCAGCGTAATGCCGCCATGCTTTGTCGTTTTGAAAGTCTGTTCTTAGAATATCATAAGTGCTCAACGCCAGTTTCCAATCGCGCAGCATAAAGCAGTAATCTGCTAGCCGGCGCATGATGGCTTCGGGGGCGTCGGGGCGGTAGAATCCCTGTAGGCTGTCGTAGTTGGAGTTCCCTGATGCAGTCGAGGATGATGAGGAGGTCCTTGAGCCGCCAAAGGGTGTCCAACGTTTTGATAGAGACATGAAGCGGCCAGACAGACCGCGGCGTCGGGACAGGATCTGCTCGTTCCAGGTTGAGACGCTGCGCTCCATGTTGGGTATTATGGATTGTGTGACTAGTTCACGGATGAAGGTACGCAAGCTGCTGATGTCGGAATCGGGGAAGTAGGGTGTTGGGTCTGTTATGTCGTCTGTGGTTTCTGTATAAATAGTCAGTACGCAGGGTTGATGTTATGTTTACACTGTCAGAATTACCTCGCCTCTGAATCTCTGCTAGCTCTTCTCCTGCAGACATCCATTCACACGTAGGTAAACGCACGCTGTCATCGTCTGAAGCTATGCATTGCTGACTCTTCAGTCGCAGTAAGTGACAGTGCAGACCGAAATGACGTTTCATCGAATCGAATGTCTGGTTGGACTTGGCGATGTCCCCAGTCTCCTCATCGTGTATCAGGACGTAATATCGTAGAAAGTCGTTCTCTACCCATTGCGGGAAACGAAGATCGCCATCATGCTGCCGATTGTAGAGCCTCCTCAGCTCTTCTATAGGGTGTGGATTCCGTGATGAGATGGCTATTATGCCAGCCACTGGGTGGGAGAAGGTTTCGTGAGGCACTACTGGCAGTCCCGATAGTAGCCTCCGTAGATATAGAGTATGGAATGGTGAAGCGGTGCCGTCTGTCTGCGTAGCTGTTGCGTCGCCCTTGCTCATGTAGTCGGACACGGGGGATTGTTTGTTGAACTCGGAGTACTGCAGATGTCGGTCGACTAGCTCTTCGATTTGTGACACATCGCCTCCTGACCGTCGCGGTCGCCGTGTGGAGCTCGAAGATGTCCGTTGGCCACCTGTGTCGACGCGCAAGTCTGGATATGCATCGTCTACGCCTATGAAGCGCACACCGAAGTCCTCCCAGCTCTTGCTTGCCCCATTGCTATCTCGTATCGTGACCTTTCCGGGCACTGCCTCTCCGAATGGTCGCAGAAGTTGTAGTAGCCCGCCCTCCAATCCCTTGCCCCGAATCAGCTCCTCCGTCTCCGCGTCCGCAAGCACAGCGACGCATGGCACAAACGCCCGTTGTATAAGCGCGCGGTACTCGTCCGATACTCCCGGCGGCAGGCTGTTCGGCGTCCCTGTCCCACTCAGTCTTGAGCCCGGCGAGAAGACGGAGCCCTGTACGGTGCTTTGGGTGGGGGTTGCGGCGCCGGAGTTGGGGCGCGACGTGGATATGCTCGTGGTGGACTCGAACAGCTTGGAGAGGCTTGGGTTGGAGCGGCGGTAGGGGAGGCTGGCGAGAGAGGACGCCGGGGATGCGCGCTGTTTGGGCAGTATCATCGACGCCTCCACATCGGCTGGGTACTTTGGGGGTTTCGGCGTGGCATCCTGAGGCGGCGTCATGAGAGGCTAGGGCGCTGCGCCCGCGGGGTTCTGGATGCGCGCGGAAGTTCTGAGGCAGTCGGCATGTATTCTGATTGTCGTGTGCTGGACTTGGCAGCAGTGAAGCGCTCCTTTACTCAGCCGCCCGTTTGTAGCTGCGCGAGTGTGACGATGTTGGGTGGTGCATCATCGCGGTTGCGGCCGCTGCGCTTTGTGACTGGACGAAATGCGGCATCTCCATCAGC